GCTTGACAACGAAATCATGTTATAATAGCTATTCAGATCTTTAAAATATGGGTAATATTAAAAAAGAATTTATTCTACACAATAATTATTAATTTATATGATATAATTTGATATTAAAATTAAAAACTGCCAATTTTAAAATCCAAATTTAATCACTATTAAGTTTAAAAACTATAAAATTACTGAGGAGAAAAGAAAAAATACATATGTTATTCAATTTATTTCTTCATTGAAATTACGTTAGAACAGACACTACAATATCCGGTCACCTGACAATACATGTATATATATTTTAATCCCAAGTGTGTGAATGGGGTTTTAAACTCACGTGCAAAACAACAGAAACACAATCAGATTATAATACATAAGCACCCAGACATATTTAGATATATATACACACAAAAAAGCGACGAGACAGGAACATCTCCACAGCCGAGGGTGTTGAAACAAAATGGCTATTTTTGTAGCGATTTTATAACATATTTATGTTATAAATTTTTTTTAAAAATAAAATATATATATATATATATATATATATATATATATATAATGTGGCCTCCTTTGTAAATCACTAGTGGGTCTTAAATGCCATTTAAGATTATCAATTGAATCAACTAAGCTGTCAGATCCTCATACGTCGAAATCGACAGGAGAGTCCATTATTATAATGAGAGGGCAGGTTGTGTAATGTACTTTGACCCTGGAAAGTTTATATTTGGTTTTGTTTATCAAGGTTTTTTTTTAATTAGTCAAAATGTTGCTTACATTTTCCAAATCACCTTTTGATTCTGACTTACCTGTGTAGTCTTTAAATTTTTAAAATGTTTTCTTTTCACACTTGTTAAGCTGGAAAAAAATTTAAGTACACACAACCTGAATTAAATTGCCTCATTCATTATGCAATATTAATTAATACAAGATTGCAAAGACAAAACGATCAATATTGATCAATTTGGGGATAAACTTTATTCAAAATAAGAACAGTTATTAATCAAGATCCATTAATATTTTCCTTTTATGCACCATGCCCTTTCAGAATATAGGTGATCATGGCTCTCCACAGCTTCCTATCCTTTGGAGGTCTTAGCAGTTTTCATCAAACAGAATGAATCAGAATGAAGAGCATGTACTTACCAACTCCTACTAGAGAAGCTAGATGGAGGGCAATTAATACATGGGGGCTTTAAACCTTGATTACTTTCTTTCGCCAATATACCAGTCACAGAACAGTTAAAAATCTGACAACTTTGACCAAGTCAACCAAATATAATTCCTTGATTTCTATCTTTTTTTCTCTTACAACTTCCACTGATTCTACTTCTTCCTGTAGCAATCTACTTCTGCTTGGTTCTCCACTACCTGGGTGGGGGGTGATATAAGCAACCCTCCCCACAATATCTTTGTCCCTGTCCATAAAAAAAGTACTCTCTTCATTCACTCTTTCTAAAGACACTCAGGTAAGTAAAACTTCTTCCTCTGCTCAGTCAGTCAAACCAGTCGTTGTTCTGCCACCCATTTGAAGAAATCCATTTAACTACAAAAAGGCTGAGGGTATGCACCTGCCAAGGCCATTGGCTCCATGATATATAGAAAAACTTCGGCAGACTCATTCTCTTGTTTATAACAATATTATTGCAGGCTTCAACACTGTTTATATGCTCCTGGGGTATTTGACCCACAAGCAATTTCATTTAATTCCAAAGGAAAAATAAGACACAGAATTTGAACAAAGAAATATTAACAAATATTATTATTAACAAATATATTGATAGGACATTTTACAAAAGGAAAAATGAGAAATGAAATGAAAGGCAAAGAGTTCAACTTTCAGGGACTGTAGTTGAGGTACTTACATTTTTGTGGGAGTGAAAAGAATACGTCTTTCTGCTATGGAAAGTTACCAAAAAAGAGGTTGATTCTTTCAAATCTCGCACTGCCTGTGATTATCATCAGGGGCTAGTAATTCAACACTCCTTACAGGGTTGATGGAATAACTTGGATGTGCTGGTTACAGGTTAGTTTACCTAACTTTGAACACATATAAAGTCAGTGGTAGTAAACAAGAGAGAAGGGGAAGCCAACAAGGTGGAAGAGTGGATTTGCAGCTCTGTGAATTTGTTCATTTGGTAGATTACTTGCTGTTTACCAGTCTCTCAATATATCCTCCGAGTTTTGCAGTTTGTGTTCACTTGTGAGAGAATCAATTTCCCTCCTCTTCTTCCTCCTCCTCCTCCTCTTCCTCCTCCTTTTTGCCCTTCCCTCATTGGTTATATTCTTTTTGACGGTTGGAAATTTGCATGTTACCAGCAAAATCTCATGCTTGCAATAATGCAATTTTCTTAAATATTCACCTTATGAATGGCTGTATTTTTTTCTTTCCTCTAGATGTGAAATTTCCCTTGTATTCACATTGTATTATATATCTCAGCATTCTTTCCTTTGTTTCTAACAAAAGATTTTCTCTTTAATACTTTGCTTAATTTTTAGAAAGGGATCTTTCACTATTCCAATGTGCCTTCGGATTTCTGCTGATTCAGTGTTTTAGACCAAGTGAAAAGTTGCCTCTTCATCTTTAAGTAAATTTTCCAGTATTGACTACCATATTGGTGGATTGTTATCACATAGAGGCCCTTCAGTCCTTTCTTCATTTCTTATAAAATTTTCCTGTTTCTTAATACTTTGCTTAGCTTTTAGAAGGTAACTTTCAGTATCCTAATGTGTCTTCATACTTCTGTGTCACATATTAAAAACACTTCCAAGATGTTTTAATTTTTGTACTTGCTTGATTTTTGAGATCTTGAATTTGTCGTTTGTGTCTTGGGCTGTTCCTCTTGCTGATGACCATACCTTCTGTCTTCTTATGCTTGTTGGTCAGTCATTTCTACCAGTTTTCTTTAAATATTTTTAGGAGGTTTTGCAATTTTCTTTACTTTACCATTAACAGTGTTATATGTGTATCATTTGTTCACTAATAATGAATCTTAAGAAACTTTACTTAAAACAGTGCAGGATTATTTTCCTTTGTCTACGCCATTTCTCCACTAGATGGCATTGTATAAAGTAATATAAAAAGAAAGAGCCCAGACTATTTTGTCATTCAGCCACAGAATGCCATATTGATATTAATCCTCAGTCAGCCAGATGTTGCATACAACACTGTGGCGTGAGTGGCCATCATTGGATGTAAAAAATGAATAGCAGAACTGCCCAACAAACAAATTTGACAAAGCTTGCAGTAAAAAAATTACAGGAAAAAAGAAAAGAACAAGGCAAAAAATAATACAAAGCAAGTAAACAATATATACAAGGCAAATTAACAGTAATTAAGGCAAAGCAACAGTAACATGGCAAAAAGTTCACAAACTAAGAATTGGGGTTGACACACTAGTTCGAATTCAGATAAACAAACATTCTGGCCAAGACAAGACAGATCAGGACTGAGTCAGATGAAACTGAGAACTGGCTTTTTTTATTGGCTTGGAAGATATCCCAGCATGCATTTGTATATTTCTGCCTTTAATTTGGAGATCGAAAAGTATTTTGCAGTCATTCTCTATTGGATTATGTTATGGGTGCTTTTGTAGGTTCCCTGTGAATATGTGGTATATATCAGATTGAATGGTGATAGATGAATTCTTATGGTGAATGAGTAAATTGTAATGAACAAATGGGTCATGAATCTGATTAGCTGGGTCTAGAATAGTGTAGACCAGCCTCACCCCATTTCCATTTCGGCCACATGCCAAAATTGTAATTTAAATTGCAATAAATAATCATACCCTATTGGATTGGAAGCAACACTCCTCCACCTCAATCAAATAGATGAGTGCACTCATTTTACTAATATTTTACAAGCACAATACAGTCACTGCACTGTTTCCAGTACATTTTCTGATTTTTTTTTCTGCCAGAATTCCTTCATTTTCCAAAATTTCTCAAAGTTTTAATCTATTTTCTTACACTTTATTCTGTGAATCAGTTTAAACACCCTATTCGTATTTGTTATGGGCATATTTCATTGTCTTTTTTTTAATGTTTACAGATTGGATGATATTGTAGGATTATCCTACCTTTTCTTAATGCTCAGTAGGTTGCAGAAATTCCTCCCATATATACCTCCTACATAATGGTAAGACATTACTGGCAATGTCTTACCATTATCTGGGAGATATTTGTGGGAGGTATGTGTGTGAGGTATTTCTACCACACCCTGTATAAAAGACAGTGCATAATGCTCTATCTTTCTTTTTTCTACCTTTCCACAGGATGCTGCAGTGACAAGATATGTCTAGATTTTGTCCAAGCTTCTAAGTCACATTACATGCAACAATACAACAACTACATTATCAACGGTTAAAAGAAAAACAAAAATGAAAAAAAAAACAGAACTCATACAACCACAATATCTTCACTAAAACTTATCACATATGTATACACCTCTCTCTCTCCCACAAGAAACCATCCCATAATATTAATAAACCAGACAATGTCACCACAAACTGATGACTCCAGTAACAAATTGGTCACCTGATATCATTAAAAGCATTTTTAAAAATGATCTTGTCTGTCACTTTCTCATTTAGAATAGAAGGTTAGTATTTTGTTCAAAAATGTCTTTTTCTTTGCTTTTCTTAGCTAAATGTTGCCTCATTCTGTATTTAAGTATATAAAATATATGGATGTGGGGATGGTGTAATGGATAGTGGCTGGAAATGAGAAATCAGAGAGCTGAGATCAAATTCCAGTCATGTTTGTTACATTCATTTATGCACAAATACACTTGGGAAAGGCATGAATCCACCTCTGCATCTCCCCCTAGCTATGGGTTAAATAGTATGACAGATTGGGCTCTTTAGCCTAGGATGGCATCTCTGAATTAAAAGAGTCATTTGGAGACCTTGTGGCACACCATGTGCATCAGTTCTCTGTATTCGACCTGGCTGAAAAGTGTGGTTGGTTCTGCACAAACCTTCACCAATATAATCTAATGTGGCAGGGCTTATGGCCACATCATGTTGAAACACTGGTTCTTGTACAATCACCAAAGTTAAGCAACATTGAACCTGGTCAGTACCTAGATGGATGACCACTTGGAAATATCGGGTGCTGTAAGTTTGGATGTGCGGGTGATGTAATTGTTAATTGGAGAACCAAGTTCTAATTCCAGTTGGGTTTATTATATTCATTTAGGTGCAAATATCCTTGGGAAAGGTATAACTTTGCCTCTTCTCCCCCAGTTATGGATTAATTAGTAAGACTTATGTGACTAAACATTATTATTTCCAAAAATAAAATAAAATTGTATACAAAATATTTACATTTTGGCATTAAATCCTACAAAGAGGTATGGGATGCCTCATTCTGTTATTATGCATGCACTAATTTTACCAATATTTTACAAGCACAATACAATCATTCCACTGTTTCCACTACGTTTTCTGATTTTTTTTTCAGCAATAATTCCTTCATTTTCCACAATTTCTCAGCTTTTTAAAATATTTTCTTACACTTTATTCTGTAAACCAGTTCAAACACCCTATTCGTATTTGTTATGAGCCTATTTCATGGTTTTTTTTCCAATGTTTAAAATGGTTGATATGCTACTAAACAAAAAAAACAGTCAACCAACATATGTAGAAATCCAGCTGTTTGATACCGAGAACTGAAATACTGGATTTTTAAACCTCAAAAACGTTCATTATTATTATTATTATTATTATTATTATAAAAATCTTTTATTTTTAGATTTCAGTTAAAAAAAATTTCAAACAAATGCCAATATAAGAGTCTTCAACAACCATGCTTAAAAAAGATTAAAATATTAATTTTTCAGTGTAAATTAAATTCAGTAACTTTTTAAAAACAAATGTTTTATTTTTGTTTCATTGTCATTAATTCTAAAAAACAAAAATTAACTTTAGTTACTTTTGAAAGCTTTTATTTTCGACTGCGTATGGAAGATGTTGGGTTTCATGTAAAGAAAAAAAAAAGTTAAGTCTGTAATTTGTAGTTGTAATCATATTAAGAAAAACTCGTCTGCATTTAAGTAAGATTTTTCTTTTCACTCACCAAAAATAAGAAAACACAGTCAAGATCTAAAATAACCTGCTAAAACTAATTACTGAAATGAAATCAAAACTAATTTGATAAATAATCTTATCATAGAATGTTGATCTCAAACATATCAAATTCAATTTTAAATTCTCAATCAAATAACACCTGTAATAATACCTTAATTTGTCATATGTGACATAGCTCAGGATTTGAAGTTACTACTATTCCCAGGTGATGATGGGTTAAGCAAGATTGTGACTGGACAATGGTTAAATGAGTGACCATTAAATATAGTTAGTTTAAACAGCTGGATATCATTTAACCACTACAGAAATCTTTTCTGCCTGCCATCGGCATGGTTGACACTATACTCCAGGAAAGCAACAAACTACACCTTCATATTTTCCACTGACTTGAAATGGAGAGACTACATCAAATCAATAGCTACATCTACTGCAAGAAAATTTGGGCCACTGTGTCATGCCAGAAAACTTTCTCATCACAATTCATCTTGCACATTTACAAATCGACCATTTGTTGATGCATTGAATAATGCTACAATATCTGGTCTGGTGCTCCTGTTGTACATCTAAAGATTCTTGATATAATCCGAAGAAAGCTCTGTAATATACTCAATCCTGACCTGACATCTCAACCCAAGTCACTTTCCCACCGACATGGCATAGTTTCCTTTTGTCTTTTCTATAAATTCTTCTTCTGAAGAGTTTTTTCCCCTGTTGCCCTGACAATATGATTTTAAGCATGCTACTAGATTGACATGTAGGTCCTTCCCATTTATTGCTAAATTAACTAAATGCAACCACCACTTCTACTCCAACAGTTTCTTTTCTCACACTTCCCACCTGTGGAAACTCCATCCTTTTATTTGCTTCCTTAATAACTACAATCTTCAAAAATTTAAATACAGCATCAATCACCATCTTTTGTCTTTTTGAACCCGGTTCATCTTTTGTCCTTTTCACAATCCTCCCTGTTCTCAGTCTTCTCTTTCACTTTCATTCCATGTAACCCCCTGCGTACTAGTGGTATTATTGCTGTGCTGGATCAAAATGATTAAAAAATATATCGCAAGACTGATTAGTTATACAAAGATCTGAATGAAATTTTAATGCCATCAAGCAACACAATCAAATAATTCTTATTCCCTTTGCATTGGTAAGAAGTTATACTTGACCAACTGTTTCATTGATCACTAAAATCTTAACTTCTTCAAGTCTATCACCAACTGTTATCTATCCAATATATCCACTGTTATGATAATTTATCCATGCATGCATGGACCCACCCAGCTATAAATAGGAGCAGGTACTGCCTTTTGGAGAGAGAAGTTTCCAGCAGTCAGCCCTGACAGTCGGACTGAACATTCTTGCTGTAACACTCTCGTTTATATATGTTTGTATTACTGTTTCTGTTAATATATTTGTTTAACTCAATTCCTCTCTTTGTGTCTTTATTTCTGGCCCTAACAAGGCCACAACAATAGTAAAAATCATTTCCAATGCATTTTCATTGTAAAAATCATTGGTCAATGCATTTTCATAGTAAAAATCATTGGTCAATGCATTTTCTTAGTAAAAATCATTTCAATGCATTTTCTTAGTAAAAATCATTTCCAATGCATTTTCATAGTAAAAATAATTGGTCAACTCATTTTCATAGTAAAAATCATTGGTCAATGCATTTTCTTAGTAAAAATCATTTCCAATGCATTTTCTTAGTAAAAATCATTGGCCAATGCATTTTCATAATAAAAATCATTGGTCAATTCATTTTCATAGTAAAAATCATGGGCCAATGCATTTTCATAATAAAAATCATTTCCAATGAATTTTCATAATAAAAATCATTGGCCAATGCATTTTCATAATAAAAATCATTGGCCAATTCATTTTCTGGCTCTAACAAGGCTACAACATCCTCCTCAACTGTACTTCCTCTTATGTCTGTAAAAATCTCACTCAGTAATAAAATCCATGCAACAATCCAGGTTGCTTCAAAGGGATTTTACATAAACATCTTGTGTTCACTTTGTTTAATTATTGACAAGATACAAATTTCAGTTTCATCATGAAAAGAATCTAGAATTGTGTGTTTGGTGATTTTTAATAAATTTCAGTCATTTCAAGGGTTGAGGTGAGAAGGCTACTGTTGAATGATTTGCAATGTACGAATGAGAAAATGATAGCAAGTAGAAATTCTAATGATAAAGATGATTGATAATGATTGACCCTTGAATTGAAGTTAAGATTGAAATGTTCAGGGAAGCACTCATGCGGGAATATTCTACAAAGGAGCAGTGCTTTGGAAACCTTTTCAGAGGAACTTGCATTTAGAGCATATTGTATCACTTTATACCAGATTTGGATTTGTGTTGTGGTGTAAGGGTGGATAACAGCTTGATTGATGTATCAAAGAGTCATGTTTGAGTTCCAGTCATGTTCACTTCCACACAAATACCCTTGGAAAAGGAATGAATGCATCCTTTCTCTCCAAGCTATGGTGTTAAATAGCAGGACAGACTGGTTCCCATAGCTTTGGCTGGCAACCATTTGACAGAAAGAGCAACCTAATCTTCTTCCTGGTCAGTCATGAATCAAGAGAGATTATCAGCCAAGTGTGTATCACGTATGGCACCTGACTGACTGTATTTTCTCAACATTGTATCACGTGTCCGTTTCTTTCACTAAGAGTATGTGATTTTCAGCATGACCAGGCCCAGGAATTGAACTCATAAATATCAAGGAACCTGATATGATTTTAACCAATGTTTTAATCCACTAGGCCAGGGGTTCTCAACAGGGGGTGAATTTTGGATTTTTCAGGGGTAAATTGTGACCATAGTAAGTTTAGTGGGAGAGGAAAACAATTATATAATTTGGCCTACCTGGCCTGTCAAATTCAAAAGGAGGAGGGGAATGGAATTCTGATAAATGGTGAAAGGGGGTTCATGAGGCAAGCAAGGTTGAGAACCATTGCACTAGGCCATGTATCTCTTGAAAAATCACATGTTGTGGTTCGGTGGGAGACGTGTTCGAATGACGCAAAGTTGAATAAGACCAGGGAGTATTAACTGATAACAAAAATCCTTTAAATATGGAAAACAGAAGAAGAACAGTGTCCCCTGTAGATTGAATAAAGGGTTCGGTTTGAAATTCTGTCATTGAGTCTAAAGAGACACCTGAAGAAGACTGGAGGGGACAATGATTGAAACATTGTCAGTATAGGAACCAAGATAAGTGCGCTGATTTGAATAGACAAACATATAATGAATTTCTTTTTTTATTCTCAATTTGGATTTATTCCAAACAAACACTTTAAACTCAAATCAAACTTTCTTTTTTTTTAATTCTCATAAAACTTATTTTTCGTAATTCATTTACTTACTTTTTTGTCGCCAAGAACTATAAGAGAAAGCTCTTTATCCACGTGTGGGAAAATAAAAAAAAAAAAAACTTTTTCGAACTTGATCATATTCACAAAGGAAGGAATGTAGATTTTTCAAACTTGAAAATACACAGCTAAACCCATTTACTTTGCAGGACAAATTGATTCTCTTTTTCAACACAAATAGTTATAGTCAGTGTCTGATGGGTCATTATTATATTAAAGAAAGATAGCATATTTTGCAGATGTATTTATGATTTGTAGGTATATTCAGTTGAATCATCACAGTACCACAGACAACAACTATTCTGAGAGGTAATTTTATATAATGATATACAGTGTGCGATGAATAAATTGTCATCTAAATTATGCAAAACTGAGAATAACACCGACATCTCATTTCAACAGAAATATTTGCCAAAAATTACACAAAAATATCTTGAAATGCTAAAGAGTAAATTTATTCAACATAATGAACATTGACTTCAACCACGTATATACATTCCAAAAGTGAGGAGACTTTTTTTTAGGAGAGGCAGTTTTAACTGTCCTAAATTATAGTAATTTTAGTTGTGGGATCGATCTCAAATCCTTATAGGGGCACCATGTGGTGTTTCATGAGCAAGATAGCCTGACAGAGCCCAACCCTCTCC